TGAAAATCTAGGTTAGATTATCGTGACGTACTCATTAACAAATATTTGGTAAGTTTGATTTCTCGACAGTCTTGTGTGAACATTCATATCTGTTATACATTACTATATGCGAGTATGGGCGATGCAAAAGTTAATGGGTCACGAAGGACAAGTATCAAAATAACCGCGTCACGAAAACAGCAAAGGTTTGGGAACAGCTGGCCTAAGGGACAACATCTCCGGATGTTATGTCTCCTGTGGCATTATCCACAATGGTTGTAATCCACAATGGTTGTAATCCACAATGGTTGTAATCCACAAGGTAGCGTGTTGCAGTCACAGTTTGCCTTCGCATAGACGAACCACCATCAGAGGTTGACGAGTGCCAACCACCATCAGAAGTTGACGAGTGCCAACCACCATCAGAAGTTGACGAGTGCCAACCACCATCAGAAGTTGACGAGTGCCAACCACCATCAGAGGTTGAAGAGTGCCAACCACCATCAGAGGTTGAAGAGTGCCAACCACTATCAGAGGTTGAAGAGTGCCAACCACCATCAGAGGTTGAAGAGTGCCAACCACCATCAGAGGTTGAAGAGTGCCAACCACCATCAGAGGTTGAAGAGTGCCAACCACCATCAGAGGTTGAAGAGTGCCAACCACCATCAGAGGTTGAAGAGTGCCAACCACCATCAGAGGTTGAAGAGTGCCAACCACCATCAGAGGTTGAAGAGTGCCAATCAGAGGCTGAAGAGTGCCAATCAGAGGTTGAAGAGTGCCAACCACCATCAGAGGTTGACGAGTACCAACCATTATCAGAGGTTGAAGAGCGCCAACCACTATCAGAGGTTGAGCGATGCCATCAACCAGAAGCGCCTGGGTTGGGGATGATCTTTTTTCTGGTATATCCGACGAGCATTGTGTGCTATGTTAGTTTACACACGGATCCACACGTGTTAATGAAATAGACACGTGACAAGACACGTGACAACAATTCAAACAATGACATCACTAACTAGACATGTGTACACAAGTGGCGGCAAATTGAACACGAGCAACGCAGCAATGAAAACTCTGAATTGACGTGAGCACAATTGGCGTTAGCTCACATGAGCAGAGTGCCAGCTTAGTGCAGGAAGAGAAATGCTTTGTGATGACGGTTCAGCACCGTCAGGACGGGACTTAGATGATGTGTGCTGTCAGAAATGTCTAAATGATAGCAGTTCATAGATGAAGATCTGACTTTTTTAACCTCGCTTCATCAGATCAGTAAATGTAATGTGAAGAGTTTAAGAGGAAAACAATTTCTACTCCCCAGACAATGGATTCTCCCCAGACAAGGCATTCGACCTAACTCAATTGATAAATATCATGAGCAAAATGAAATCTCTCTAATCAATATTTGACAGGAATCATCAAATAAATGACATCAAACTTGAACTTTGCTGTTGAACAAATGTATGAACTCAAAGTTGGGTGTTCAAAACATCTTTCTAAAACAGTAGTTTGCATGTAGGCGCAGCCCCAAAAATGAATCAGAACCAAACACTTTCTAAAGCATGTTCTGCGTCATTTCATCTAGTCATAGTTGACAAAGATATAAACAAAATAGTCTATTGACCTCTCAAGGAGCTGACAGAACACAGACCAACTAAAACAAAATATACGTCCCTTCTATTGACCTCTCAAAAGAGCTGAAAGAGCATCTTTTCTATTGACCTCTCAAGGAGATGAAGAACACAGACCAACTGAAACAAAATATACGTCCCTTCTATTGACCTAATTTAAACATAATTTATGCACTGACCTTAAAACTAAGGAAAAAATTGTTCCAATTAAATAACAAAGTTTTGTTTGAGCTAAACCTTATGTAGTCTTATAAAAGGATTAAAAGGATTTCCATCTGGAAAATGGCACTTTAGTAATTCTGTCTATTGTAAAAACTGTAGAGTTTAACATCTCCTTAATAACTACAAACCACATTCATCAGCATTAGAAAAGTTTAAAACAGCTCTTATGTCGTCTTTACTATTAGATATTCCCTTTCCCTATTAAGACACTCAAACTCAAGAATTACCCTGAAACAATCACTGATTTCAAACAAAAGGACCTGATTATAATATAATCCATTTTCCTCAACACTCATGAACTGTTATTTATGCGTCTTGATAGAGAGGAATGTTCATCGGAAATGGAGCAAAACAGGATGCAACTTTTACTATGGCCTGTTTATTTTAACTCATCCAATTTACAAAGTACGCTTTCCACTTAGTATAGAAACAAGAGGGGTGGGGGGGGAGGAGAGAGAGACGTGCCGGACACAGACCGTACAATAGATGTATCAGAAACTGAGTGAAGGTACAGGGCCTTAATTTAAATTTCTCTTGAATATACAAGATGAAACTGATTCCGGACACAGACCGTACAATAGATGTATCAGAAACTGAGGGGGGGAGGAGAGAGAGACGTGCCGGACACAGACCGTACAATAGATGTATCAGAAACTAAGTGAAGCTACAGGTCCTTAATTTAAATTTCTCTTGAATATACAAGATGAAACTGATTCAGGGTTACAGGTGTCCACCAAAATCGTATCAACTGACTTTTTCTGAGTCTTTTATTGACACTAACTGTAAATGTTTTTTTTAAAATAATTAAATGTAATTTATTTCATATTTTTCAAATTACTATAACATTATTTCTTTAAAAAATATTTAACACAAACAATAACAATTGGGTGTTTCAACGGTAATGGCTACTTCAGTATCAGATTAATAACCAGCTATGGGTAATTAGCTGTGTGATGGACTAATTAAGGTAACTATGGGGCAGGAGGGGGGGGGGGGTAAAGAAACTAAAAACAAATGAAGTTGAAAAAAAAAATTTGCCAACACAAAAAAAGCTTCAAAGTAAAAGTTAAAGCTCTTGGGAAAATCTTAAATTTTTAAAAAAGAAAAAAAATGATGGACTAATTAAGGTAACTATGGGGCAGGAGGGGGGGGGGGGTAAAGATACTAAAAACCAATGAAGTTGAAAAAAAAAATCTGTCTACACAAAAATAGTCTCACAGTTAAAGTTAAAGCTGCTGGGTAAATCCTAAATGTTTAAAAAAGAAGAAAAAAGACAACAAACTATCAGCTCATTGACAGATAGATAGTCCTTTCAAAAAGCATTCTGAGCTAATTTCATGACAATTAGCACACATGCCATAAGTAAATGAAATAATATTATGTCCTTTCCCTGTATATCAATCATATCAAAAACACATTTATTTTTTTTTAAAACTGCCCTAAGATATCACATCCTGGCACACAACATATGGGGAATCAGCAAAATTATGTGTGTCCCTTGTGAGAGGTTGAAGTCTGCACAAAAATAAAAAACAAACTCCTGGGTGGAATGGACTACTGCTATGGAAGTTAGAAAAAAGGTTTAGTACATAGGTTGGTCATAGGTTGTGAAAACTTTAAATCATTTATAAATTTATAAGGCCTACTTTATTAACTACATTGACATTAATATTATTATTTAAGTATAAGCCGACAGTTTAGGGTTCCCTCCTACCGATTCACACACCCAGGTATGTCAATGTAAGAGCAGTCCAGTTCAACATTATTTGAAACTGGGATTTTAAATTTGAAAAAGGCATTTGAATGATCATCAGTATCAGGCCTACCTTTTCTGAGTACACGGGGATAGGCCTATTTCAATAGGAGCACCAGTTAAAACTGATATATAATTTAATAGGCCTGCCTCGGCTAAATTTACTTAAGAGTTAGATTGGGCCAAACAACTAACTGGTTACAATTAACTGAATAGTGAGTTTCAATAACACTTTATATTTATAGACTTATACTTACACTTAGAAATATGTAATGTATTGTTGATGGTCATTGACTCATTGAGAATATTAATGGTGTTGCTACTGCTTGTTTGCTTTTTGTATGAATTTTTTGTTTGTCCTTTGTACCTCTTTCTTTGTTGTGTGAATGGATTGGGTGGGGGGGGGGGGCATAATTAGAAAGTTAGTGATAGTGTAAATAAATGGGCGTGGCTTAGTACAAGCATAGATTCTGGTACAGTCAATAGATTCGAGAGAGGAAATGCACGGCCAAAATGGCCCGTTGACACTTTGAATGTGAATATAATAAATCCTTTTTTAAGTAGCACAAACTCACCCTTCTGTCCACAAAGGCACATGCTATTTCATGGAGTAATGCCATTGTTAAGTCCGCATCAACACATCTCGGCTCCCTCATTAAGCCGATTTGCATGTAAAACGAAATCCTCCCACGGAAAGGTGTCTCGGGTTGCATTTTCGCCTATGAATATTTGCGCGACACTTGACAGCGTCCGCGGCACGAAAGGCACACAATTATAATGGAATTCAATTACTATAATCCTAGCTGACACAGAAGTTTAGTGGTATAGGACATAAGCCCTAACCCTCAGAACATCGGTAATGCTTCTCTTAATCATTCATGTTGCTGGTTGTTGAATCAACGAGTCCAACAAATCCGAGTGCCATAAGCCCTCAATCGGCTGCTGATGAGATTGACAAAAATCAGGCCAGTTTGTCAAGTGTTAAATTATACGAATATGATCCGTTCCGGAAATTTTAACTTTCTTTTTCTTCAATATACACAAACTAATATTTATTTTGTTTAAAATCTTGTAGAAATATTAAAGTCATTCTTTATAAATATTATGTTTTTCTAGCCGAATATAATTTTTGTCACTTCTTACTGGTCGTATTCGAATTTTGGGCAAAAGTTAGTTGTCTTAGTCGAGAAATCAAACAAGACTGCTCTATTATATTTTGCATTCATAACAAAACAATACTTGAATTTTATTTTAGATTTAAAATCTTTATGAGTAATAAAATATATAAAAAATGAAATGTATGTAATAGATAATACGTAAAGATTGACAAATATATACCCTAGTAATTTAGTCGTCCACACCTTACCCCGCCCGATTGTTTTTACGACATATGAACTCTCACAGACAACCCTGTTTTTCGCAGAAGTAGTTGTTGACAAATTTCACAAACATGGCTTCCTGTTCTGATTCAGTCACTACTGACAGTCAAAAAACAAATAGTTTATCGAATCGTTCAGACTCTCAACCAGATGCTGAAGTAACAGACACAGAAATAAAAGGGTATTTAATGAAAAGAGCAAGACTATCTCGAAAATGGAAAAAACAATGGTTCTTGCTTAGAAATTGTGACCTGTTTTATAGTGAATCTCCAGAGGTAAAAAAAATCATAAGTCGACATCATTGATTAGACTAATCATTATCGTTTTTAAAATATTGAACACTTTATTATCATTTAACTAATTATAGTGTATGCTAGTTACTTTAAATAAAACGAAATATGAAGTAGCCACTTTGGCTAATTCAGATTGATCAGCCTGTGACGTCATTTGGATGTTTATTAAAGTTGCCATGAATTAGGGTTCAGGCTCAGGTTAGGTTTAGGTGGGAAACATTTAGGATTCAGGTTAGGTTTAGGTAGATACTTTGGTCAAAAATGTAAACATTTTTTAAAAATAAACCAATGGCACAGTTGAACAGAATTATAACACCAAAATCATATTTTTAGCTGTTGTAGTTTTAAAGTTATGAATTTTTAAAGTAGGACTTGGTTTGTCATTTTTTAACATGGACTGCATCTCCACATTCTGTGACCTCATTCCACTGATCGCGTCATGCGCAATGACTATATAGTTTATATAAGGCAACGCATTCCCTATCGCTAAAATACTGTTTAGGGTCGACTTATTTTAAACTTTCAACTTTGGCACATGAATAATTAATAAAAGCTTTCCCTGACCAATGGTTTAAAAGCTTTTGCACACGGCAAACTCTTATGAATGAAACTCTGAGATAGTACTACGACGTAGCCGTTATGCAAGTGGCTGTGAATGGTTGCCAATGACAACGTGTTGCACAGGGAAAATTCTGATCATTTATATTATGGACTCTGCAGGGTTTTTAAAGCTCAAATTAAAACATTTCCAGTTTAAATGTCTTCAAAATGCATTCTGAAACACAAAATATAAAATATTTTGATGTATATAGTGGTAATAATTAAATATTTCCTAAGTATCGGCAACTTCCGCCATTAAAAAGGGGGCGTGGCCCACGCCATGTCGAAATTAGGCTGAGCCACCTTATGGTGATATGGGTCACTGTGACAAGCGTAACAAACGTGAGACACGACCTACATCAATGAAACTTGGCACAGATATAGATCAATACCTAATGCTCATACAGATTTAATCAAAAAGGACCTTATCTTATTATTTCACAAAAAATTTTGTATGCGAAGATGCCTTATATATACCAAAGATTTTCAAAATAAAGGTCGATTGAAAAAAGCAAAATAGCTGGCTAGAAATGTAGGCCAAGATGTCTTCCAAATTATAAGGCCGGAAACGGAACTCAAATATATGTGGAAAGAACTAATTTAATAATAAATAGACACACACATCGGAAAATTAAAAACTCGGATTTTTCGGCGCCGACGCCCATTTCCGATAAAAAAAAAATAGTAGTCTCCCTTGTTTCATCGAAGTATCTAGGTTTAGGGATACATTTTACGTTTAAGGTTAGGTTTAGGGATACATTTAGGGTTACATTTAGGACATAAGTTCATGGGTCGCGATAACCAAGATGGCGGCCACGGGCTGATCTCTCCGAATTCACCCTTACCCCTTAGGCCAGGTAAAGCAAAGATCAAAGAGACTACTTCAAAATTTGAATGGGAAATGGTAGTCGGTGCAGAAGAATCCGAGTTTTTAATTTTTGGACATCAGTGGTTTTTCATTTAAAAAAGGATTTTTGGCACATGACTAAAGCTTTCCCTGATCTGGTTTAATAGTTTTTGCACACAGCAAACTTTTATGAATGAAAACTCTGAGATAGTAGTACGGTATAGCCATTATGCAAGTCACTGAATGGCTGCCATGACATTTGGCACACTGCAAATTATGGTCATTTATAATATGGACTCTGCCTGGTTTTTTAACCTCAAATTAAAATATTATTCTTTCAATAAAATTTAAGTTCATTCTTAAACTTAAGTTATCAAATATTTTGATGTAAATAATAAAATATTTCCTAAGTAACCGCGTCTTCTGACAATAAAAGGGGGCGTGGCCACTTCCTTATCGAAATTTGGCTGAGCTACATTACCATATAGCGGTTTACTCAAATGAGCATAACAAGTGGCCGACATGTCCTAATTCAATGAGAATTGACACAAATATGCATTGATAGATAATACAGAGTAAGACTTAAGATGAAAGACATAAAAGTTGAACTTCTATAATATGAAAGACATAAAAGTTGAACTTCTATATGATTTTTTAGTAAAAGATGCCTTATATTAAAGGGTAATTTCAAAATACAGATCGATTGAAAAATCCACAACAAATCAATGAAAATTTAGGTCAAGATGTCTACCAAAATGTAAGGCCAGAAATGGAACTCAAATATATGTCGAAAATACTCATTTAATAATAAATAGACACACACATCGGAAAATTAAAAACTCAGATTTTTAGGTGCTGATTCCCATTTCTGATACACAAAAAGTAGAAGATTCATCGAAGTACCTATGTAAATAAGGCATCTTTCCCTCTAAATATTTTGTTGAAGTTTAAAAGAAAGGTTTTTCATATTAAATCTTGATAGGCATTATTATATTGATGCATACGTATGCACATAAATTCTCATTGATGTAGTTCATGTCCGATGTTCGTTATGCTTGTCCCAGTAACCTTCATTATCATTAGGTGGCTCAGCCCAGTTTTGACCATGGTGTGGTCCACGACCCTTTTTTAATGGCGGAAGATGCTGATACTGGAAATATTCAATTATTACCCCCATTTACATCAAAATATTTTATAACTTGTGTTTTAGAATGAACTTATAAGTAATTTAAACAAGAATATTTTAATTTGAGGTTTAAAAATCCAGTAAAGTCCATATTTTAAATGATCATAATTTGCTGTATGCAAAACATTGTCATGGGCAACCATTCACAGTCCTTGCATGTCTTATAATACTTAAGTATAATCTCATAGTTTCATTCATAAGAGCATGAATTTGCAGTGTGCAAACACTATTTAATCATTTGTTATAGAAAGCTTTAATTAATTAATTTTGTCATGTACAAAAGTTGAAGGTTCAAAATAAGAAGTCCCACACCAGTATTATTATTTTTAGGGGAGGCCTTGCCTTACATATACTAATTATATAATAGATAGGGGTGTGCCGGAATCCGGTTCCGCCGGATTTTGCACTATCCGGTGAAATCCAGTTCCGCCGGATTTACATGTATCCGGAACAACCGGAATCCGGAATATACCGGATTTCGGAATTTGCCAGATTTTGTGACTCACCGGATCATAATCTGAAATAAAAGTAATTCTCTTTCCCGAATTCCACACGATCACGATACATTAATCGATTGTTTCGAGCGTTGAGCTTGTTTAATGTTTAATATTCCGTACATACCAGAGGCTAGAGTCAGCACCGCTAATAGTGGCCAATAGTGTAGGGACTTTGATAAGAAAATTTAAACTTTTTGTAAAAATAAACCAATGGCATAGTTGAAAAGATGTAATTTTTTAAAGAATTATAACACCAAAATCATATTTTTAGCTGTTGTAGTTTTAAAGTTATGAATTTTTAAAGTACGACTTGGTTTGTCATTTTTTAACATGGACTGCATCTCCACATTCTGTGATCTCATTCCGCCAATCCCGTCATGCGCAATGACTATATAGTTTATATAAGGCAACGCATTCCCTGCCTTATCACTAAAATACTGTTTAGACTTAGTTTAAACTTTCAACTTTGGCACATGAATAATTAATTAAAGCTTTCCCTGACCAATGGTTTAATAGTTTTTGCACACGGCAAACTCTTATGAATGAAACTCTGAGGTAGTACTACGATACAGTTATGCAAGTGGCTGTGAATGGTTGCCAATGACAACGTGTTGCACACGGTAAATTCTGATCATTTATAATATGGATTCTACCGGGTTGTTAAAGCTCAAATTAAAACATTCCAGTTTAAATGTCTTTAAAATGCATTCTGAAACACAAGTTATCAATTATTTTGATGTAAATAGTGATAATAAATTAATATTTCCTAAGTATCGGCAACTTCCGCCATTAAAAGGGGGGCGTGGCCAACCCCATGGCGAACGCGTAGAAACATGGCGTCTCTCGTAAGACACTTATCCAAATGGAACGGAACTCTAATATATATCGAAAGTACTAATTTAATAATAAATAGACACACACATCGGAAAATTAAAAACTCGGATTTTTTGGCGCCGTTTGCCAATTCCCATACACAAAAAGTAGTAGTCTACCTTGACTTACCGAAGTATCTACCAATAGTACCGGAATCCGGGAGAAACCGGAATCCGGATTATTCCGGATCCGAATCTCGATCCGGTGGATTTCGCATAAGAAAATCCGGATCCGGTTGGAAAAAACGGATCCGGCACACCCCTAATAATAGATGCTAAACTTAGTAAACAGAATATCCAAAATGTATTTAATGTAATAACACATATTACATAGCAAGATAAGTTATAATTTATTTATAATTTCATACTTAATACTGTTATTAAAATTTAATTTTAAAATTAGAACTTTTAATACCCAGCATTGATGATTAATCCTGAAAATAAAGTTTGAATAAAATTATCATTTACACAAGAGTTTTATCGCATCACATGATTAGCAGAATGAGGTCAAAAATGTGGAGGTGCAGTCCATAGTAAAAAAAAATACCAAACAAACCTCCACATTAAAAATTCATAGCTTAAAAAGTACTTAAACCAGAAAGCTGATTCTGGTTTAATTTATTTTATTTTGAAGTTTGCTCTGTATAATGATATTTTGTATATTTTTGTAACGAAGTATCAATACAATGTAGCTCAAAGAAAATTATGATTTTGAGGGTTGGGGGAATTATTTAAGGATAGCTCTGTTGATTGAGAAATTTAATTAAATATAAAAGTGACTAAAATAAGAACTAGGCAGAATCTTTTTGAGAGAGCTGCCACTCCTTGGTCATATGCTTTTTCAGTACATTGACACAATGTGTGACACACTCCCTGTGTTTTTGCACTACTTTTTACCCACAGCCGCCATCTTTATTGTCATAATGGCAAGGTGGTGGCTGTATACAAAAAAAAAATTTGGCTAGATGGGAGAGAATGTGTTGTTTGAACTACCTACTGAGAGCAATGAAAATTAGGGGGAAAAAACAATAAAATTTAATGATGTTATTTATTATTTTTGGAGAAATACCTGCAATTCTAAAATCTATAAATCTACCTAACCTGAATGGTATTTCAATATCCCTCACTCAAGCATAAATTCCCCCTTTACTTGAGCGTAAAGTTACCCCTAAATTTAGTCCCTGTAACTTGAGCGTAAATCTTCAAACCTAAAATCTATGACCTAACATGAACCCTTTGACCATGTGACATGTTCGTTTGCTACAGTTATACACTGTACTAAACTGAGTAAATCGTAAATTTGAATAAAATATTTGAACACAAATTTTTTTTTTATTATGGAAAATAATAAAAATCCAATTTACAGTTTCATCAAATACACTTTTACACACTTTATTGCATGCTCAAAAAAGGATGCCAGAAAAATAAAAATTCTTTTCCAAAATGCCTTCAAATTAGCCTAATTTTGAAATATTTTAATTAACCACCCGATGAAATAATAATTTTAGGAAGCCATCAATCAAAAACATTACATTTGCGTATTATCCTACACAGAATCCTACACGAAACTCAGAGGGGCGTGGATTGTGTGTATAGACAGCTTTTTCATATTTTCGAGCTTTAATAAACAATGGTGTCGAGGGGCCAAATGTAGTCTTCATGCCATGTGGTGACTGTCAAGTTTCAAAATTGGTGGGATAGAGTGGGGGAAAATTTAGATTCTTGTAGATAATTGGATGCTTAAAACAGTGGTTACCATGAAAATTGTGACTTGTAGATAATGTACGAGAAATTAAATAGTAGACATGCCTTAATTCAACTTGATATATTTTCCACAAAAAATTATTGATCAAAAAGTTGTAAAATACAGTATTGTTCAGCATCCAAATCTCTTTAAAATTGATATATCACACGACCTTACTTACACAATTAAAGCTTTAATAACCAACTCCTGTAAATTAGATTTATTTTTAACGCCATTATATTTACAACCTGATTATGATAAAGATGTGAAAATTGGTATATTTATTCTTCTTTAAAATAACAAATATGTTTTACCATTTTCTAAATATACAATGGAAATATACAATGGCAGTGGGGTGGTATTTGTTTTAAAAAAATTAATAAATGAAGTATAAAGCATGATTTTTCCTCCTAATTTTTTAAAAATTTATTTAATTTTTTTCCCTCAGGGATCATTAAAAAAGATTCCGCTAACAGATGCTGATATTTCTGAAACTCGGGTAGACAAGAAGCAGTATGCCTTTCAAATTAGAAGCAAACAAAATGGACGAACATATTACATTCATGCGGAAAATGAACTAACCCAGAACAGTTGGATGCAGGCTATTTGCTTTGCAAAGGCTGCTGGGAATCATGGCAGTGCATCACAAGCCTGTGTTGTGCAGTGATGATAGCTGTTTCTTCCTTGCATATTTTCTAAATTAGACTGTGATATTAAATACATGCACAAGTTTGACTTTACTTCTTTAACAGAATCATAATCATTTTAACATTTAGCATAAACTTATATAAATTATAATAAAACTGTAGACCATGGAGATGAAAAATGCTGGGAATTTTTTTTTATTATTGTCAATCATTCGTTGTCTCCTCCAAATGTTAATAGTAAATATGTAATAAATATATAGGAATATTTTTCTCTTCAGTCTTTCTCATCTTTTAAAAAAAAATCAAATTATTTACTGGTATTTAAATTATGAGGCTGTTTCCAGTGTAGACTTTCCTTATTATCCCACATAAGATTTTTTTAAAATGTTTTTTTTTTAAATTGTTGATAAGATTTGTTGTGTTATTATTTTTAATAAGCTTATTATTTGTTCAGTAGGAAAGCAGGCCATTAGGTTCAACTGACCAGTATTTGGGTATATCACTTAATCTCGCCATTAACTTAATGCTTTGATTAAAAGATAGTAGAAAAATTATAAAGTTTAAAAAAAACATCGCGTTAGTTTAACTTGCGTACATTTAAAAGACTCTGAAATTGCGTGCACTGATTAAGCTCTGATTCTTATTTTTAAATGTATGGACATTTCTTAAATAAAAATATCAAGACTTTTTAATTTAAAATTTATAGGATCCTTTAAAATTACTCCAGGAAAAAATTATAGTTTATAGAATCTCACCAGTGGGTTAATATAGGAGCCTAAAAACCTTTCCGAGTATGTACATTCCTAATGCTTATATATGTTTATATAAATTTAATTGAAAAAAAAAAAAGAAAACTTTACAATAAAATTGTTTAAAACTCAATATTTAAAACTAAATTTGTAGTTTCAGATTCCTTTTTTTTAAAAGCTATTTTGTTCTTATCATTACTTAGTAATTAATAATTTGAAATATGTTTATTATTTTTTTTTGGTAATCGAATTTTACATTTATTGGATATAAGATCATTAAAATGAGAAATCTAAAAGAGGTCTAAAACAAAAATAAATAAAGTTTCAGCCTGCAAAAAATGTAACAAGGTAATTCATAAATTTGAATTAAGTATTTTCAAGAAATAGGCCAGTACTAATATAGCTGAAAATCTTAATAATTTTATTATTAAAATATGAACTTTTCATGCTTCATATAAAGTAAATTATTAAAACTCATTATTTTTAATCCCATATAATTTTAAAACTTACTGGTTCGTGAAAAAAAAATCATAACTTTATTTCAAGTTGAATTTCCATTTCATGTATTCTTTTATCAATACCAACACCACAATTTGCACATTTTCGTGGCTGAAATTTCTTTAGTTGTTCTCAACAACTGAAAATAATAATATATTATGTGTTTTAAAGAAAATATTGACCAGTTTTTGCATACAAAGTAAATTAAACTAGTATGTGTTTGACAACACAAGGATAACCATTGTGAATTTACTGCATGTTTTTCTACTGATGGAAGTAAGTTTTGAGATTTGGTTTGTTCAGTAATTTACACTATAATTTTAATTAGTTTAATTCTGACCACTTTGGTGCCCATCAATATCTACTTATGAGATAAAAATGTCTGATTTGCGTTACTGCTTGATTCTGAAATTTGCCAGTTATACAATTTTTTTTCCATCAACAACAAAACTTGCTTGAAAATAAATATTTGGTAAAAAATTATTCCATGAATTAATAAAATTAGGTATTAAAAAAATGTAAAGAAAAAGAAATTTATTTTAGAGGCAGGCTGTGGGCTTCATTAGGTTGTGATATTATTCTTATTATTTTTGTGTGATCTTATTTTACACAAAAGATTTAAAAAAACAAAAACATTTCCATAATATTATCAAATTAACCATTAATTAAAATGTTTGTTTTTTTCTTTTTCAGAATAACTGTTTAAATGGGTAATAGTTTGTAAATTTCAATGTAAAAATGTGAACTTTGAAACAGCAAATTGGGAAATTAATTTATTTCTGTTTGTTAATTTTTATTTTGTTGTTAATTGGAAGTTTTGTAAAATTTTTATATGTTAAACAGTTTGAGCATTTCATTTTTCACAATAACCTCCTCTTAAATTTATAAGTGGTAGTTGTGAAATGCTCTTATCTGTTTAACGGTTACTAAGCATTTAATGTGTTTTTTTGTTGTTTTAATTAAAATAATTTGTCACAAAAATGTTAAATGTAAAAGTAAATTGTAAAGCATTTTTGCAAATATCTAACAATATAGATTTCAGGTGTTGATTACATAGTTTTGTGTGTTTTTTTAAATTGCATTTTTAACTTTATTTGATTAAATTTTTAGTGCTGGTATAGACTCAGAGATGAACATGTTTTAATAATCTATTGCAAAGGTTGCCAACCCTTTACTCTACCACCCTAAAGGCTCCACATGCACTTCTCAAGGGGCTCTGTGACCGTTTCAGGACACGCGTAAATATTATTAACTTGTAAAACATTGGGTAGCCCTAAGGGCTTCCCTCAGAATAAATTTCTAGAATAAATTTATTCTAACAAGGGGCTCAGCAAGACAAAAAGGTTGGGAACAACTGATCTATAACATACACTGTTAAAATTATGTGCTTTTATTTTGTTCTTATTGGATTTTAGTTTTTGTTCAGCTTTTTATGGTGTGCTCTTTAAAATCATTGTGTTTAATTTTATTTTCTTATTAATAATTCTTGTGATGTGCCATGATTAGTCTACTTCTAAATACTTGACCAAGAAATGTTTATAAAATTGATCTTTAGAATATTATGTTACATAAAAGAAAGATTTTTATTAAAAGCTTTCACATTTTTAGTTGGCTGTGACTATTGGCACCCGGGTACCAGAAGTGAGAGGTTGGGATTAAAAAACTATTTAAAATATTATTGTTTGGTTTGTAAGACAAAATGAGGTATCAAATGAAAGCTAATTGAAGGGACTATATGTTTTTCTAAACTTACTTCTTCAGTAATAGCATTTAGTCTAAAGTGACCCAGGTACGCATAGCCGCTATTCAATTCTCACTTCTGGTACCTGGGTGCGAACAGACACTTCGTTTTTAGTTTAAAAATTAGCTGTATATACAAATAACTTAAATAATTATGATGAGATAAATGTAATATAATAAAATACCCTACCTTAATTTAAACAAATATTTTATTTTACTATTTTTGTCCCATCTTTTGTTTCTCCTTTTTGTAAAGGAAAAGATTTACTGTACGGTAATTTAAGTCTGCCAGGTATTTTTAATGTATACATAATAATAATATATATATATATGAGTGTATGTACGTCATATTATGTTCATTATTAATTACATTTAAGAAAGTTGATAATTTTTTATGGAAATAGTTCTTAAATTTATGTAACACTTAAATTTAAATGAGTCCATAAACTCTACTATGATGTTTATAATAATACATATATTGTGTTATATAATATATGTATATGTATATATATATATATATATATATATATATATATATATATATATATATATATATACACATATAGTGAAAAGTATAAATATATGTTATATAAAGTATATATATATAGTGTGTACATAAACTCTAATATGATGTTTATAATAATACATATATTGTGTTATATAATATATGTATATGTATATATATATATATATATATATATATATATATATATATATATATATACACATATAGTGTTAAGAGTAAAATTCTGTTGCATAAAGTGTACATAGTTACTGTGAATAGTGGCATTGTGTAAATTAAATGCATAGATCAAGTTACAAGGATGCAAAGATCTCTAGTTTAAAATATTAATTTGGTGCATGGAACTAGTCATTGTTTTGCTGTATAAAGCCTTATGTAACGGTGGTGTGCTCCACTTGAATTTAAATTGTACTAAATCTTAATACATTTTTATGGTGAAAGTCATTTAATGATATTAAGACATGCTGTAATTAGAGCAGCTCCTCCATGGCATGATTTAACAACCAATCTGAAAGAAGGGAGTCAGGTAGATTGAAGGGTAAGGGAGTTAAATAAATAACAGTTCAGAAGAATATTCCTGATTGTTAAATCAAGTCAGATGGGAGGATCCCTGATTTCACCTATCTATGAGGCAGCTAAAACAGCTCTTATGCATTTTGTAAATTCAATTATAAAATATTCAACTTTTAACTTCTACACAGAATATAATCATGCCGCAAATATATTTGGAAATAATCAGGAATTTCATTGTATGTAATATTGTTCCATCTATTTTTAATATGGGCTTAACCATTAAAAAAAAAGAAGTATTTAAAATTGTTTGTTGTTGTTCTCTGAAACTAATTACTAACATTTTTAAAGATTTGAACATTACATTACAATGAATCGCAAGGTCACACAACTATAGTATTTTTAAAAAATAGAAATACAAACATTTCAATTTCTACTCCTTTATTTCAATATCATATATTTCTTTGTCTGTCATTTGTTAAAATCATCATGTATGTCAGCAGTTTACTGTAAATTTATCAAAGCTACAGCTGAATTTATTGACCTGCATAAGTATTGAAAGTATTTGTATGGTTAAATAAAGTACCTTAGGATAGACGCAATTAATAGATTCCTAACAATACGGAAACATGCAAGTGATATGTTTAAATTTATCTATGAATAAACATGAAACAAAACACTAAGCAGCTATTTCTCAATGTTGTTTCCATGTATATATATTCTTTTATGTTGTTTTTTTAAATTGATAAAATAATTTTTATTTCAAATTAAAATTCTTCATTATTTTGTGATACATTAATTTAAATGTAAGATTATTAAGTGAAATAATTTTATATCATCGGTTAAGCTGCATATGTACACATATGTGACTTAAAAATAATTAAATTATGACTTTATTATCATTTCAATTATTTAAAAATGTTGTCTGGAGTTATTAAAATATTAATAAATGTACCAGTATGGGAACTAATGAGAGGACCAGGTTAAGCCATCTTTGCTCAGTGCTGTACATTTCTCATTTAAAAAAATATGTAATGAGAAGAATATCTTTTTATGTACAGTATATTCCTGAAGCCAAAAGACAATATTTTTAATGATACCGGTTGCATATAGTACCCTAGATATATATATTATTTTTATAACTATTTCATAATAAAAAAAATTTGCTGATTTTTAAAAAAACATTTTGGCTTTGTCAAATATTTCATGCCATTTAAAGTTTGATTACTTTACATGTCCCTATTCAATTAAAAAAAACATTTTAAAATCATTTCATTCCTTTTTTGCTTTATATTTTTTAACGTAGTTAATATCACTTGGAACAGCGGTCTGCGACCCATCAATTTGGTGCTGCTTACAGGTTTTTGGAAGGAACAGGCACAGCACTTTAATTTACAAATCTATAATGACATTCTGCCAACAAATTATTTTCTTAGCAGTTATAATTTATAAAAATGGCTCCTCTCACAAAAAAAAAGGATGCTGAACTCAGATGTAGAACATCAAAGGGATACCTAACTTAAATATTCTTTTTGAGTTTATCAGAGGACATAAATATTGCTTAATCAGCTTTATAATATGCTGCCTATTATGTTACAGTTTATTTAGTTGACAACATAATGTTAAATGAAAACAACCGGAAAAGGATGTATGACTTCAGCCAACTATGACTGTAAGAGCTCTATCAGCACATGAGATGCCATCAGAGAACACCCCCCTTCTGAAAAGGATGTCCAACATTCTAGGCATAATTCTTAGTAATGTTATATCAAATATCACTGCAGGTAGAGCATGCAATCAATAACTGAATGAGTGTTGAATATTGTAAATGAAATGTCTTGGATGATAGAGATATGTAAAGATGTTAACAAAAATATCAGTGCCTTCGTCGATTGTATAATTGTGCAATTGTAATATTAATAACTGTCCCTCTTCTGGGGTCCGAACTAAAGTAATTGCAGCGCCCGTTAAAGATTATCGGGTAAGGAAAATTTCATAATTTTTTTAAAAGTCGAAAACATTTTAGAAACTTTATTTAAGGGAAATAACAAGTTGCACACTTCCCTTGGAAACAAGAAAAATGGCGGATGGTAATTCTTATTTGTTGTCCTATCAACGGCGCCAAATTTTAATATAATGTATTAAGAAATATATTAACAAGTAAAATATAAATAACACATTTTCCATAAAAAGTATTGGTATTTAAAACAACAATTATGGGTAGAGTTTTGAGTACTACTTCTGTATTTTTTCCTCATTTTATTTGACTTTTTCATTCTGCCACATTTCCGAGCGAGGGTACTGTCGTCTAATCTAATGTCTTATACTTGTAATTGTTTACTAACACTAGTAAGTAGCACTGAAGTAACGTCGTAAATTAATAAAAATAAAATAGGGCTAATGTAATATATTTCTTGTAATTAATTTGTAAGATTCTGGTTCTGGTAATGTTTCGTTGCTGCATCCATGTACTGGCATCTTTGCAACAGTTGGGGGTATGATGTTGCTATTCTAACAGCTCCTAGTTTATCTAGTTATTTGGTAATTTAGCACTCCTATGGCTATTAAAAAATTGTGTCTGACTGAATTGAATTGCTGTTCTATTTGTTCCAGTTATTCTTTTATATTTTATTGATAAGACAACCATAATGTCAATATAAGATATAATGTCTAGATTAGATTCTTTTATTGATCCAAATAAATAGAAATTCTTTTCAAAACATAAATATTCTTACCAAGACAAAAATTTTTGGCACTCCTCTGAACGCCGGCTCCATTTGTCAATTAGTTTACTTTTCATTCAAAAGTGCAGATGGCCCTGATAATTGGTGATGATGTAATTGTTTACATCTATTCTGAATAAATAGAATTGTATAGCAGACTGATTGCTTATAAGAATATAAACAAAACAATCCCATTGCAGAAAACCGCCAGTACCGGTTCATATTGTAAATAATTAATTGCCAGGAAACATTCTGCAGTCTTATGACACAATACAGAAGGTACTGTATATGACAGCATGCTTTGGTTAGTTTGGCTTGGTGAACACCATCTCATAAATGTCAACATCCTATGTCTTTAATCCAATATCCTCAGTCATCTGTTCAACAAGATTGAAAACGCCATGGCCTGTTTCCAACTAAGATAGTACTTGAAGTTTCTGAGTGACACTTATCTCATTTGATGATATACTTGGTAAAACATTATTGAACTGGCAAAGTAACTGCTCATTCTATACATTTTTGGAATTTCAGACCGGTTTTCGGAGGAGTGCCAAATTTTTAAATTCTAAATAAGAACAATTTAATGTAAGAAAAGCATATGCAAGCAAACCAAGTTAAAGTTTATCATTATGTATAGGCTAGTTCTCCCAAGGTTCCCATTAAGTTCTTGAAAATATCAGCTCCCCGAAAACCATTGCAGAAAATGAAAAAAGAAGGGAAGGACAATGTATGCTTCATGTTTTGCACCAGAGATTCTAATGAGGGACCTCCCCTTTGTTTATTTGCTGATTGTTACTAGCGTTAAATAGACTCTTTTTGTAAAATTAATATGCCGATGGCATTTTTTTTATTGATGGCTTTTTAAAATTAACATTTCATTGGGTTTACTTCCAAACATTATAACATTTCAAAACCAGGCCATTTGTTTGACTGCTATTTCGACTGGGTCATCGTCTGATAATTTTGTAAAATGGATTTTGACTTTCTGACATCTTGTGGATTTATAAATTTTGTAAAAGTGTATTTGATGAAACAGTAAGTAAGGTTCTTATTAATTTGAATATTAAAAAGTAATTTTAATGTTTTTATTCAAATTTACAATTTTCTCAGTAGTGTGTAAATATAGCACATGGATACATGGTTTTAGGGTTCAGGTTAGGTGATAGATTTTAGGTTTGAAGCTTTACGCTCAATTTAGAGGCACTTGAGTCAGGGGGGACAAAATTTAAGGGTGTATTTATCCTTGAGTTAGAAATCTGGTGTCATGGCAATAAAGATGGTGGCTGTGTGAAAAAAAAAAGTAGTGCAAAAACACAAGTAGAACAGGGGGATACGTCAAGCGTACATTACCAAAGGAAAAGAGCGCAGATAAGAGTCTTTTCAGTTGGAGCTTCTAGCATCCACCTATTTTCTACATTCTGTATGTGGGCACAAGCGTCAATTATAACAACGAAAATTTTTGATTGAACACAATGGAGTGTTAGTAGATTCTGTGGCTGGTATTATTTATGTTTAAATAAGCCACCTATCTGTCCAAAACTGTATGTGAACTTGGTAAAATATACCTCTCTATACACTCTTATAAAGTGATGACGCATCGATCTACTGGCACTTCAACAAGGAAACAGCCCACACCACCCCCCCCCCCCCCCTCTGCCACCGAAAATCCAGTGGCCCTCTCTCCAGCGTCCCGGTGGTATTTCCAGTAAAATAGCACTTCAGACCCAAAAAACAAGATTTTTGAATAGCCGACGCTTAGTTTACCTTCCTAGTGTATTTTGTTATTACTTTATTTATTCAGGTATAGTTTAGGTTGCACTTTTTTACAAATTTAAAAGAAAAAGTCAGTGTTGCTACCTATCCATTTATTATCACAGGGATCTGAAGTGAACAGCAGCATATAAGTAGATCAAGAGTGTACCATAGGCTCAAGAGCTAGGGAGAAAACTAATTTTCCCAGACATTTCAATTTTACGCATTCACCTCTTCCAAACCTACCACCTCATATTAAAATAAAGCATTCACCTCTTCCTAACCTACCACCTAATATTAAAATAAAGCATTCACCTCTCCCAAACCTACCACCTCCTATTAAAATAAAGTGCTCGATCTGCTCAGCTCACATTTACTATCTGATTCATGAAAGTGATTTTGATTATCTATCAAAAGATAACAGCTCCGCACTCGAGAAGGAAATACCATGTGATTACAACTATTCACACTTATTTAGAGTCTTCCAACCCATACCCAAGAAGCTAGAGATGACATTTCATTTTAATAGCATGAGTGAAATAAAGATAAATCCGCTTTTAAAAAAATTGATGTCATTACTTTGCTTTACCAGAATCTGTATCAAGGCCTGTCAGTGCCGGTGGATTGCTATCTGGTGATGCTATTGAGTCACAGGATGTTCCAGAAAATATCCAGGTACAGTTAAAGCAACATTGCAAATGTCTTTTAGTCACATAGTATAATTACAGATCCGTCTTTCTTTCACCTAAAAAACCTGATTAAAATGGTTTCAAAATTTATATTGATTAAAGATATTTATTCTTTGTAGTTTCATGATAGTAATTGTACAGCATCAACCCATGCTATATTATCATCATCTATACAACATTTTTTATTTATTTTTTTGTTACTGTAGAAAATAATAACCAGCGAAAAAGAAGCTTATGATGTTCCAAACAAAAGACCAAAAGTTGACCTCCAGTCTCTTCCTACAAGAACATACTTAGATCAGACAGTAGTTCCAATTCTGCTTTCAGGCATGTCAGTCCTAGCTAGGGAACGGTGAGTAGCATTACTTTTTAAAATTTTGTCCCTTTTAAAACAGAGATTTCCAGAATTTTTCATTGTGCTACACTCATTGAAAAAGTTGGAACGCATTCTATTTAATTGGTGAGAAATATGAATTAATATCACAATATAAAAACATCTTCATATAAAATTAATATGGCATTCAAAACAAATTCATCAGTACCTCATCATAAAACATGATTTTTTTCTCAATCTCTAAACATTTTAATAGGCTCTGGATTTTTGTTGTTGAATGTTTTCTCTAACATTTATGGAGCTGCTTGAGTCTTAAATAAAATGATTTGGTACCTGCTTGTTTTAGGAAGTATTAGTAGGACAAGGTATGTGGAAGCTTGAATGAAAAGACAGGACAATAAGATATTAACGTTTCGGCTAAGAGCCTTCCTTAGCAGACAAGACAAATGAAAATACGACAATAAATAGAGAATAGTTAAAAACTTATTTGATCGCCATTGTTATAGCTAGAAGTTGGATTCTTCAAAACCATATGACATACCTTGTCCTACTATTTCCTTCACACAGCTTGAATGCAGTCCTTCATTTATTATCTGTTTAAATTTACATAGCTTTCGTGTACAAGTTCCCTTATTGTGAAAAAGTTAATGAAATTTTTTTTTTTAATGAATAAAATAAAAATTTGAGTAAAATGTTAAAAAGTGTTATAATTTCCTATTTTCCTATTAGGCCACCTAATCCTATTGAGTTCCTAGCAGCATACTTACTGAAGAATAAAGACCAGTTTGATTAAAGGATCTGTCAAGCCAGCTGATAACATCAACCATTTTGTTTACTATCAACGCACCATTTTGTGAATATTTTATGTAATATTAAGATAAAAGGTTTAAGAAGAGGCTTAGCTGAAAGCTCTGAAGCAGCGCTTTGGAAACTATTTGAACTAACGAGGCTGGGTTGGGTTAAGTTTGAATCATGTCATTCCTTTTCATTGAAAGGCCGTTAATGCAGCACTAATCCCTAGACTGAACTTAAAGAATGCCTCTAGAGAATAGTGTCAGATAAATTCAATGATTTGATTTCATGTACTATTTATTAGTCATCAGTCTTTTGATAATGTGAATAAAAATGTTCCCTTTATCTCATTACATCATAAATTAAAGTGTTGTATTTATTGCATGTATACAAGTTTGGAAGAAAGTCAGAAAGTGTAGAAGAAGATAACTTTATTGATTACAAATTGTAAATCTAGAATGTGTTAGTTCTTGCTTTTTTAATTATTACAACTAAAAAAAAATTGTTATCAATAAGATAAAAAGCAATAAGGATTAAAAAGGTTTTCATTTCTAAGAAAGCAGTGTTTTAAAATTGAATGTCTGCATAGAAAGAATAGCAATTTAACAAGAAATTCTAATATGAAAGCCCCAAAAGTGTGCTTCCATTTTCTTGCAACATTTACTTGCTTCATGATTCTTGAAATAAAATGTATCATCGTATTCTTAGGCGCTTGTCACCCTAATGCCCTGACTTCCTTGAGATCTATTTTATCTAATTTATTCTAAACCAACTCAACTTTTACAAATTGGTTTAGTATATTTGACATTACTTAAAATTAAACATATAATGGTCTTTCAAAATTTAAAAAAGTTCTGTTCCAACTTTGCTATTTAAAAAAAAGGAAGGAAATATACTGTTATTACTAAAGGTATATTTATTTATGTAAAATTATTACATTTTTTGCAAAGTTATAAATTGATAATTTCCATCTTTTTCATTCATATTTTCAGGAGTTACTTAAAGATAACTCTCTGTCACATGCTCATGAAATCCCTATAAACCAAAGAGGGGAAAAAAAATTGTGTAAATTTTATTCTAAATGAATTTTTCAACTATTAAAAGTTAAAATAAATCTTTCTGTATTATGAATGATGTTGCTCAAACTCTGAACTGCTTAACAACTTTGACATATGACAGTGACTGATAATAATTTATAATTATGACATTTCCCTTTTTAAATACCATATATCTACTACAAGATATTTCAATTCCTTGCTAAATGTAATTTCTTCAAAGGAAATTAATTTTGAACATTTACTTAAGTCATTTGTAAGGTAATATAATAATTATAAAAACATATGATTTTAATTACAAAACATTCCTAACTAAACACCTGGCATAGATAAATTTTGCAAGAATTTGTTCTTGTGATAAACATAGAGCAAGAGCATGCTTTTTAGCAATATAAGTCGAACCTCTCATAACGAGTTTAATTCGTTCCAGACTCTTACTTGTTAAGCGAAACACTCGTTAAACGAAACAATTTTTCCCATACAAATCAATGTAAAATACGATAATGTGTTCCATGCTGAAAAAATACTAATTTTTCAAAAAATTTTATTAACATTTATTCAAATAAAATTTCTTATGAATTGTTAAGGAGTGTAACAACTTGGAATACAATTTAGATTTGAAACAAAAAACGTAAATAAAAATATGAATTTATGACAAATAATTAATCTTTTTTAATTAGAAAACTGTCTAAAGACATTTGTTTTTGCCAACGCTTCAAAATTTGACAAAAATGTGTCACAGCATTATCATTGAATAAATTTGTAGCACCAATAGTCACGCTCACACCTTGTTCTCGCTTTTCAAATATTTTCGTTTCATTTCAACAGTTATTTTTTCTCTTTTATGATTGTCTTCTTGTATTTTTTTTCGAAGACATTTTAGCATAGGTTATTACACTTTGCACATAAAAAAATTACGAATACTGTCTGAAATACAAAATTTGTAAAAACTGGTGATCACACACGAAAACAATACGCTAACAGACAGAGTGCTAAACACAGACTAATCCAATAGTTCTCAACCTTCCTAGTGCCGCGATCCTTTAATACAGTTTCGTGTCTTGGCGACCCCCCAGCAACCTAATTATTTTTGTTGCTACTTTCAGATAGTCTAAGGCTACCCCTGGGAAAGGGCCGCGCTACCCCCAAAGGGGTCACGACCCACAGATTGAGAACCGCTGGACTAATGCATTGGCGCAGAAGTCCTGGCTCACAAATGAATGTCTGGAAAAAGGGACTTCCCTTTTCTGCGTAACTCGTTATGCAAAATATCGCTCGTTAAGGGAGCAACTTCTTGACATTTTTTTTTGCGCTTTATGCAAATTACTCGTTATGAGAGGTTCCACTGTATTTGAATGAGTAAATGAGGTTATCTTTACGATTTTCTCAGTAGTGTATATAAACCTGTCTAGATCAAGAATGGCAGTAAAAATTATGTTAACTGATTTTAAAAAATTACAAAATAATAATGAAATCTTTAAATGCTTATAAAATTGATTAAAAAATTTAATTAAACATTTCAAATTATTAAATGAAATAAATAATGTGGCACTTTATTACACAGCTTGAACCATAACAAATTAATAATTAATGACATTGCGATAATTCTGAACTACAAATTATAAAGCTAAAAATGGACACATTTTTTTTAATGAAGATTCAATCAAAATATTATGTAAAACATCAATATTTAATTTGAATGCAGGTCTTCTCTATAGACTGATATGAATAATGAATCTTTAAAGTAGTATGACATTTGATATTTTATCAAATACAAAATTTACTATTTGTAGAGAAAATAGGCTAAATATCACAATATAAGGTCAATATTATTACAAGGATCAAATGGAGACTTTGCTAGCTTGGACAGCTTATATTAGATTTTTGGGGAAACATAAACATAGATTTATTTTGATGCTGTTATTTACCTGTCTGCAAAAAAATGAACATTTAAACTTAAATCAAGATGAACACATTGCTTTTGCTGAAATAACAATATTGTTAGTAGTAGACGATAGAAATCACAGAATCAAGTATTAACTGAAACTATGTAAATTTATAATAGAAGCAGCTAACATCATGGCACAATTTAACAGAAACAGATGTCAAAATCCTAGCATGACACGAAATTGTGAATTTACTTGGAAATTTAGATCAGCTTTGGTTGCAATCTTTCTGCTCACTTTGTCTAGAAGACCGGAAGCTAACGCAACTTTGGAAAAGCCACAACATTGTTCTAAATATGTTGAAAGCACATATAGGTTTAGGATGGGCGAAGCAATGTGCATTAGTTTTTAAACTTTTGCAATATAGGGCATAGTCAGTGCCGCAATAGACTTTTTATTACTTTTTCTTAAATTTTTTTTGTTATTTCCATCATAGCTGGTGGACTTTATCTAGTTGTATAAAATAAAAAGGATGTAGCACATTCATTTAAAGTCTTTTCTACAAGATTATGAACTAGCCCATTAGTGTAAAAAATATATTTCTAACAATATTAGCACTACTAACAAATAAGACTCGTGAGTAATTAGAACATATAATTATAAATGAAGTTCTAATTTTACCACTAAGAATGTTAGAAAATGTTAAGAAGGAAGATACATGCAGATCACATTCATGCGGTAAATGAACATGAATAAATAGGCATTATAATTTTGAGCATTTAAACTAAGATATTAGAATGGACATCTTAGATTGCAAGGTCACATAAGTATTGTCAAATAAAATCATAAAATCTGTATTATACTAATTTGATCTAAAAAATAAGTGGTGCCGGATTAAAAATGATACAATCTGCGCCATAATACTTTTGGTTTAAATAAAAATAATTAAACAGTCATCACATCATGAACTAATGGTACCTGGCAACGAGGAATTGCTTTTTCGTCTTTTTGTTTCAAGGTAACTGACTTTGATTTGAACTCAGAGGAAGCAGGTCATACAGAGAAAATAATCAATGTGACTGTAGCAGGGTGAATCATGAACATTATTATAATCACTTGCACTTTTATCACATATATAAATTACGTAATCAGGTTCTACAAATTTATAATTAAGCTAATCTTTATTTTAAGCGTTACTTTTGGTAAAAAGGTTGTTAACACAGCCTTCTCTTATCTTTTAATTATGCATATTTCATTCTTGCATATTATTGCAAGAATAGGCTTGATATCAGCAATGATGTGAATAAAAATGAACCAACCATACATCTAAAGTTTTGCAATGTAATCAGTCTGTTTCACAAACTGATGCTACTTTATGGATTATAAATGAAGCATAAATTATTAGATGGGACCTGAACCATGTCAAAGTCAACATTTACACACTAAATCTATAAAACAACATGGAAAAGAATAATAATTTATGATCCCAAAATAAAGATCAACATTGTAAATGAATTGATAATAGGAGAAAACATGAAACTGCCCTCTAAATGTATTAGTGGAAGATCATAATGGAGTGAATAAAGAAAAACTACTTCAATCGTAAACAATAGCCTGTGGAACAGGAGATGCTCTCATTAATTAATTCACTACAAAGTTTTTAATTTTGAGAAATTAACTGATCAAAACAATAAATTCTGAACTACATCAAACGGCTTGAATAAATGTCGGGTGGTGAAAAATTAAAATTGGTTAATGAGTCTACTATATTTGAGCTGCTTGCACCAGGATTCTGAATAGTAAATCCGGCACTGCAGATCAGTATTATACTATTTAATCAATAAGGGTAACAAATTTTAGAAACATCTTCTGCATGAGCTGAGCTCTTTCATTGGCTGTCCTTAGAACATCTTCATGGGTGACCTGAAACTGGGATCCATCTTCAAGTTCCACCATATCTGTGATAAGTGATACCCCCAAAATACGCATGCCACTGTGTCTTCCAACAACAGATTCAGGTACTGTGCTCATCCCTGGTGTGAGGACATAGTAAAAATATTGTATCTTAAGCTGAAGTAAAATGCTTACAGGTTAAAAAATATGAAGTATTACAAAGCATGTATTTGGTTCCTTACAACAGAAAGCTTTCATCAACGTGTTGACCATTTTGCTTCATCTTTAGTAATCCTTCATACCGGTAATTAGTTCATGTTACTTTGCTTGACGAAATAGGTTTTATTTTAAATTAATATAAAGAATGTAATCTTTCACTTTATTGTAAATAATTACTTAAAACTAAACGCCAAACAAATAGCATACTAAATCATGTAAATATTATGTTATGCCATGAACACTCCAATAAGAGGAAAATCAAAATATGCAGTAATATGACACAAATATTTTGAAAATACTTGGAATAACAATTTACTAAAGAAAAATTATGTTTCACTGAAATTTTTTGTAACTAGGTTTCATGTTTGTCACTTAAATAATTAGATGGGGTTCTGTCAGCAATCGCCAGTATAAATTCTGTAAGATGAAAAAGGCCATGGCTGGTCCCATCCCAAACTGCCTTTTCAACTTTCTCATTGCCACATACTCAAGTTCTTAAAGTTTTGAGTATGCTATACAGAACAACGAAATTTGTGTACAGCCACCACAGAATGTACATAAATCTCATGAATAACTTGGGGAACATTTCTTTATGCAGACCAACTATCTGAAAAAATCAGAGTATTTCTGTTTCCAAAGTAGGTGCACTATGATATGGAGCTTATATCAATAAATATTCTTTCCTTTCTCTCTCAGTTCCACCAAACACCCAAAGCCCTTTGCAGTGAGACAATTGGACTCATCTGTTTCCACATCTGTGGCTCAACATAGGTCACTTATCTCACCCAATGTTGTTTCTCTCTGAAAGTTATACAAATGATTAAATTATTTTCTGGTCTTGAAGTACTTACCAACTGCATCTGCTCCAAACATTCGTAGAACCCGTGCTTCGGCAGTTGAAGAAAATGTTGGACCCCCAATCATGATGTAAATACCCTCTTTCATGAGATCACCATGGCCAAGCTCAGTAGCCACTCTTAAAAACTTTCCTCTAAAATCAGAATCATAAGTTCCATTTGTAGCTAAAAATCTGGGACCAAACCTGGAGATCATTCAGTAGGTAAGCTTGAGACAATTTGTTTCTCTTAGTAACACAGGCACACATTTAATATATAATTTTTTTTTTCCTGCTCAAACAAAATATCTAGAAGAGAACTGTGGGACTAGCACCCCCAAGAATGAGTAGATACATCTTTGTTAACACATTTTACAGACAATTCATGTGTTTATTAATTTATTATGATGATTGTAAACTAAAGCGGAAATCCATCTAACAACAATGATTCAACACTTGCCTTTCATCATTTTTGCCAATAAGCACACATTCCCCTGTAAGACCCGGTAGATCGATGTGATCTTTTAGTAACATGATGTCCCCGGTTTTGTAGCTCTGATTTAATCCTCCAGCTGCATTAGTCAGGAGTAGGGTCTCTATCCCCATAGCCTTCATTACTCTCACTGGCATGGCTACCTGTTGAAAACAACAACCATAGCCTTCATTACTCTCACTGGCATGGCTACCTATTGAAAACAACATCTATTATTTATTTATTTATATAGGCATTTTTTTATAGCGCTTACCTTACAGCTCTAAGCGCTTTACAATTATTAAAAATATGTAAACTATAAACTGCTAAGGTAAAATAAAAAAATACTATCACTGGCATAGCTGCCTATTGAAAACAACATCTGTTATAGCTTTCAATACTCTCACTGGTATTGCTACCGATTGAAAAAACATCTATTATAGCCTTCATTACTCTCATTGGCATGCCTACCTATCAAAAACAACATCTATTATAGCCTTCAATACTCTCAATGACATGGCTACCTGTTGAAAACAACCATAGCCTTTATTACTCTCACTGGCATGGCTACCTATTGAAAACAACATATTATAGCTTCCAATACTCTCAATGGCATGTCATTAATTTCTAATTACAAATTATTTTAATTATTTAGTCACTAATTGTCATCGTATTTGTGATGATAATTCCATGGATGAAATATTTTCAACCACCAGTAAATTTACCTTCCACATAGGATATCCTTCATAATAATGAAATCTTCCCATCATCAGCAAAACAGGTTTACCACTCAATGTTCCAAATACAAACTTTCCAGAGTGGCCTTTTACTATACATAGGGGAAAATAATAGAGATGAATTTTAAAGTAAAGTTGAATTTTTTAAAGCAACCAAATAACACCAACAAAATATTCAGCCTTTTTTTTGTTTTACATATTTTAGTAATTATTCTGCTTTTTTTCTTGTTAATTTAATTTTCAAACAATTATGCAGATTATTACTTTAGAAAAATATTGATGAGCATGTTTGACTAACTATTTTAAGACATTTTTCAAGCATATTTGTTAGTGTCTCCTTTCAATTTTGTTGCTGCTATTTCAAAAAGAAATAAGTTAAAAACAAAATATTTTCACATGTAAAAACCAATCACAGTAATAAATAGAAATGTTATTTTAGCGAAGAACAAAGTGACTAAATATTCATAATTCTACTTCTAAAAGCTATGGAAAAATAATCTTGTTGGATATTGTAAAGCTTAGGGTTATCTTTTTGCAGTGGAACACTAATATTGTGATAATATATGTCTTAGAAAGCGGGAGACACTGGAGTACTTGATAAAATATATATATATATATATATTTATATATATATATATTTCACAATTTAGAATTCAACATATTCAGTAGACTGTTAATAATTAAGCATATTTTTTAAAACAATAAAAGAAAAGAAAATAGCTCCTAGCCAATACCTGTGCTGACAGGAAATCCAGGCACTGTGTCATAAGACACTGTGACAGGATTCTCCACAACATCGGCAATCCCTCCTAGACCTGTACCACAAATAATGCCGATAGAGGGACGTAGATTGGTATTTGATAGTATTACCTGTGCCATGCGCTGGATGTCTTCATATGTATAACTGAAAGAGGAATTAAATAAGCATCAAAATATAAAATTAAATGTTTACCTTTTTTTAAAAACTAGGATATAAAAAAAAAGTGGGCCTATGCCTATAGACCTCATTTTGGAGATGAATTATTTTTTCAAAATTTGATGGATAAATCACATTCACAACACCAGTCACTTAAGATTCATTTGAAGTGGGTAAATTCTATCCCCAAAGGTAAAATACCAAAGATATTGAATTCATTTAATTCTCTATCGATCAGGATTTACCAGAATGCTTCCTGTCTTTTACACAATTGTTCTTAAGCTGGTATGGGCCTCAGTGAGTGAGGTTTGTGTTGAAAAATTTGCTGTTAAACTGTCCTACTTGAAATAATTGTATTGGTAAGATAATGAGAATGTTTTTTATTGTCTTTTTTTTTCAATATGCTGAACAAAAATTGTTCAATGTATCTCAAAAAAATATCCACGTGTTTGGATCAATAAAAAGAATCTTATCTTGTAAATTTAAAAAAATTATTTGTGTGGTTGTACTTGCTGTTGCATAAAATGCAGAACAGTTTTTTTGCCTCTGATCTTTCATTAAGATTCATTTGAAGTGGGTAAATTCCATCCCTAAAGGTAAAAAAACAAAGATATTGAATTCATTTAATCATATTTAATCCCCTATCAGTCAGGATTTACCAGACTGCTTCCTGTCTTTTACACAATTGTTCTTAAGTTTTCATTCATTCATTTAGAACTTAAAGAGTTTGTTTTGGAGGTGGCTATGAACTAGAGAAGGTCAGTAAATTTTACTGTATCTAAATACTATGAGAGGGGGTGATGAGAAAATGTTTATCAGCATTTATCAGCTAGAAAAATATCATGGTTTGTATGAAAAATATATTTAGCTTTGAGATTATGAGAGTGATACATTGATACATGAGAATAAGATTGATTCTGTCCTTATTGTCACTAGCATGTAATTTGAATGCCTCAGCATATTTTTCATCTGTTGCAGGGTAGATGAAATGACTGTTTCAAATTAATTCCTACCACGAACAAATTGATAATCTCTTGTGCCTTTTCACAAAAGTTCTCATCAGACTGACAAAGTTGACGCAAACAAAGATGTTGTGAAAAGGGAATATAGCACTACAAGAAGATTTAGCAAATTTAATTGAGAGTTATCAGTAACTGATTCACACTAGATTAATAATAATAAAACAATTTCAGTTAAAAAAATATTTAAAAAACCATTTTAAATGAAGAAGGAATGAAAAGCGACAGAATACATTTGGTACAGAATTTTATGAAATTTTAAATATAAATTGCACAAAAATGAACATTAAAAATGACATACCCAATCTTAGACAAATCGGTATTAATAGCTGCCATTTCAATTAATTTACAATCCACAGACTCTTATGTGCAAAAACAACTGTAATAAATGAAAAAAAAATGTATTGGTAATAAATATAAAGTATAAAATAAAATGAGTAAGTTTTGAATTTTAACTTAAATAAATTCTTTAAACCTAATTTAAAATTAATATAAGGTCACATAAGGTGTTTATAGTATTTAACCCAATTGTTTTACTATGCCTAAATACTAAATAAAATTTCACTTCAGTTCATAATATTTAATTTTCACATTTCTGATGACTGAGTGTTTTAAAAATTATTGAATTGCAACTCCTGAATAATACTAATAGAAATTATAGAATTATAGCAGTCTTCATTAATAAGTCTATATCAATACATAAAAATAAGCTACTAATTACTAATAATACTAACTAACTTTTACTAACATAATTCTTAATACTAGTAGTAGTAGTATTTTAAATTAAGCCTAGGCCTAAGACTAAGTTAGTGTTGAGTTCTTAACAACTTTTAGATTTCATATCCAAAAGTTACCTACCTGATTTAAAATGTAAGAAGTTTAGCTAAAGCTACACCTTCCTGCACTTGGTGTAAGTGGGTTAGGCTTACCAAGCCGAATGTTTTAACACTTAGCAGACAGCTATCAGGCTATAGTTTGATCAGAGTTTATTTTGATAGTTATTTTTATAACACGGTATCGATACCAACGTCTTTTCGTTTTCAAATTTGTCCAGCTTGGAAATTTGCAGATCATGTTATTTAATACTGTATTTAGTTAAATGAATTTAGTTATTTAGGGGAAAAAATGAATAAAGAAGCATATTAATTAATTACGTTAAGTGCCACACACGACAGTTTACGACCATGCAGACCTATATTTTAAAAAATAATAACATTAATTACAATAATTAGCCTACATTTAAAAGATATATATATATATATATATATATATATATATATATAGGCCTATATATATATACCAGCACACAAATTAGCAGTGATACATTTTGGCGCACAACTAATTTAGTTTTGCATAATACATATATATTTAAAAAAAAAAAAAAATAAAAAAAAAAATATAGTATATATATAAAAGATATATATATATATATATATATATATATATATATATAGGCCTATATATATATACCAGCACACAAATTAGCAGTGATACATTTTGGCGCACAACTAATTTAGTTTTGCATAATTCTGCGCATAGTCGGACAGCATTTAGGTGTCTCTTGACCTTGTGTTTCTACACATACTAGACAGCAGTCTGTTTGATTGATAAATGATTTTTAAAAAATCTATACATATAAAAGGTGGCCGTCACAAAAAGCAAGTACTGATTATATATTACCTTCCGATATATTTCCAAGATTTACCACATACAAAAAGAAAAAAAAGGGGGGGGGGGGGGAAATACTTTTTTGAAAAAAAGGTCGATATATCCAAAATGATGGACTTTTATAAATCTACTATAAACTATAAAGAGCTCAGCGTGACTATGTTTGTTCGTTAGTGTCTATATGGGTAGTTCAATCACAAGAAAACTGCTCGTTGGTGTCTACATGGGTAGTTCAATCACAAGAAAACTGCACAAGAAAACTGCTCGTTAGTGTCTATATGGGTAGTTCAATCACAAGAAAACTGCTCGTTGGTGTCTACATGGGTAGTTCAATCACAAGAAAACTGCTCGTTGGTGTCTACATGGGTAGTTCAATCAAAAGAAAAGTGCTCGCTATTGTCTATATGGGTAGTTCAATCACAAGAAAACTGCTCGTTAGTGTCTATATGGGTAGTTCAATCACATGAAAACCAAACTATGTATAGCAACCAAATGTGACGTGGTTATTCCTTATGACCTACAGAAAATGTATCCTGGAAAGTTTGGTTGTAACGCCATTATCCCCCAAAACTGTTTTAAAAGATCGTAAAATGTAGAGGGTAAAGAGTATAACAATATATTTCAAATAGCTTCTAGGGACGCTCTAGTTCAGTTATTTTTGGATTTCACATTTAAACATTTCTCCTCTGAAATTTCATTTTTTAAAAGAAATGTAGGCATTGTCGCGGTATCAGTTCCTCTGGTATCAAATTTGAAGTTTCTAAGAAGGCTGAAAAAGTTCGTTGTTAAGAAACGCCCTAGTGGGGTCGCCATGTATTTTTTAATCATGCTTTGTTACAATTTATAAAGGCATCTTGGAGTATCAGCTTCCCTGGTACCAACATCTTGGAGTATCAGCTTCCCTGGTACCAACATCTTAGAGTATCAGCTTCCCTGGTACCAACATCTTGGAGAATCAGCTTCCCTGGTACCAAATCTTGGAGTATCATCTTCCCTGGTACTACGTTTTAATTTTTTAGGATCTATAAGATATCCCTATTTAGTCATATCGTTTTATATTCATATTACAACCCAGTTCATTGGCTCTGCCCTCATTTAGTGAAATGACTTCTATTGGAAGGTATAGGTGGATAACTCTCGTATGTGTTTATTACCCACTTGTGTCTAGGAGTTTTATGTTAAGATTCAAAACACACACCAAGGGAAATTATAATCATACTCACTTATACATATATATCAAAGGAATCTATAAGAAAATTTTATGAAATGACATTTATTTACAAAGGCTTTAAAATAGTTTATTGGCTTTATAAAAGTTAAGCTATGTGAATTCCTGGCCTACAAAAATGGCTTAGATTATTTAGCCATACCTTTGCATACAATTTTTAACTAAGTTCTATGGACTATGGACATTGATCTACCATAGTGCCTAACACCCATCAAAATAGTCATAAAGGGGAGAGACTGCAATCAAGTTAGAAAAAAGGAAATGAGGAAAGTATGGGAGAACCTAAAAAATAAGGACGCAACAAAACAACGAACTTGTCGAGAAAGAAGCCTTCATCAGCGAACAAACAGTAAAAACCATTTTAAATTAAATAAAACTTAGCAATATTGCAGTATCCGAGAAGACAGCACAGCATGTAAAATAACATAAGTAGTAGTAGTAGTAGAGAGAGAGAGAGAGAGAGAGAGAGAAGGAGAGAGAGAGAGAGAGAGAGAGAGAGAGAGAGAGAGAGAGAGAGAGAGAGAGAGAGAGAGAGAGAGAGAGAGAGAGAGAGAGAGAGAGAGAGAGAGAGAGAGAGAGAGAGAGTGAGAGAGAGAGAGAGAGAGAGAGAGAGAGAGAGAGAGAGAGATTGAGATTAAATACAGACAGGTAAAAAGGGACAGAAGAGAGGAAAAGTAAGTCCAATGCGGTTGGTCGTAATGAGGATGTGGCGGGAAAATGTGTTTAAGTTTAACAGGTAAACGAGAATCTGACACTCCTGCGATGTGGTGTCACAGTTCCATAAGTCTGGATCAGTTTGTTTTTGAAATTCGCCCTATTTGGTGTGCTTGTACAGGACACGATGGCGCTAATAGTAAAGTCCTCTGAACTCTTATGATCTCTTCTGATGACGTTTTAGAGACGGGATACTGCTTATCTTGCATAATATTACGAATATTTCGTAATATTACGATACTAAGTTTTTCAGTACATCCGTTAGAGAGGCGGCGTCCTGTCCATCTGGCAGCGGGTGCAAACAATGGCGAAGACAACATTGTGGCTAGTACAAAGGAATCAGTCCCTTATCTGAAAACTGCCAATACGGAAAGGAATGTACGACGAAAGGGCAAGTAATGCAACGGCTGCGTTCACATGGCTTTCTCACAAAGTGAGAGGGGGCAACATTTATGTGACTTTGCAAAGGAGGTCACGCTAATTCTATCACGTCTGAAAACAATGAGGGGTAGGGAAAAGAAAATGTGGGTATCAGGGTCGGCAAGGAGAATGGCACGGTTTTAGGGACCTGTTTGACCTGTGAGGATGATATGTGAGAATAAGTTTGGTCCTGTGGCCAAAGTCACTCGGACGGGACCTGAAGGCATCAGCGCGGGTAATATTTTTAACCATTTGAAGGGCTGATGAAAAGACTGTATACGGGTATAACCCACGTCGGGAAAAGTCGATCATCTCAATTGCCTGTTCCTAAAAGTCATACCCCGACTAGTTAAATCAGCAAAGACGAAGTAATTAAGAAAAGAGAATATAGTCTTTACATGTTTCAGGGTGGGAAGAAGAGTAGAAAAAAAAAGCTGTGGCTGTCAGTAGGTTTATACTAGATGAAGGCAAGTAAGTAGTCTCTTTTTGTGAAGGGTGACCGAAATGTCCAAAACGTTAACTGACGTCTCAGAGACAAGTGATGTGAATTTAATGGAGGTATGAAAAGAGTCTACGAAGTTGATGAATAGGTCAAGTTCACTACCTTCCATAGTGGTGACCTCAATACATTCATCAATGTACCTTTTGTAAAATACAGTGAGACGTCCAGTATAGTTTCTTTCGATCATGTGTTTGAAGTGTCCCATGAACAAACATGCGCAGCTTGGTTCCATTTTAGTCCCCTTAGCAACCCCACTGAATCGGTCGAAGAATTGGCCGTTAAACTCAAGACCATTACAGACTGAGATCAAGTTCAGCCAATCGGAGGGTTTTAATAGATATAGAAGGATGGGGTTTACTATAGAGAAAGAATTGTGAGGCTAAGACTAAGAGACCGTCAGTTTGGGGGATTGAAGAATATAGAGAACATGCATCAAGGAGAAATATAATATGTTTCTTTTGAGGAGGGACGATTATGGATTCAAACGTTATTAAAGGAGGGTTGATATCTTTGATATAGTTTGGCGGTGAGGCTACGATGGGTTCAAAAGCTCCATCTCTGAAATGGGTCTGTATTAATGATTTGTTCGTGCTTTGTTGATGCGTGTTTTGGCGCTGAGAGTATTTTTGTAGCTATGTGCTATGTATTTTGTGACGTATTTGGGTATGAAAAAAATGACGTTGGATTTTATGGTTATAGTAAAGGCGTTGCACAGAGAAAAGAAAGAAGACATCCTGTTTTTTTTCCCCCAATAAAAACCGTGTGTCATATAGATCATTGCTTTGTTTAACTATTGCCCCTAAACATAACGAAGCCAATGAACTGCTAATCCCCTCTCAGCGTTTCGTAACAGTCTGCCAGGGGTATATACCTTATACGTACTTGTGTATTTTAGGTATGTAGGTCGTAACAGGGCTTACCGATGTCACTATCAAAGATGTAAAATGCAAAGGTCGATTTATGGACTGATGATTCTGCGATGATTTTTTTAACAGTTTTTTTTTTTACCATGTCGTTATTTTTAGTAATAGGGTTCTTTTTCCTCAATTGGTAGAACTTGCTGTCTTCTAACTTGCTGTCTTCTAACTTGCTGTCTTCTAACTGCCCGTGTGCCTATTTAATGTATAGATTTTTTTATCCCTCAAACGACAGCTCCACCTCTGTCAGCTGGTTTGATGGTATCTTTCCGGCTACGTAGCCTGGAGAGTGTCTTCGACTCTCTTTTAGAAATATTAGAGTGGCGGAGTAGAGGTAAAGGGAGGTTTTTCATGACATGTTCCGGGCTACCGATGTAGAGGTCTAAAGCCTTAGATTGGTTAGACGATGATGTCCAATTAGATGTGCGTTCTCTATGGAATGGAAATAACTAATCAGGGAGGGTGGAATTTTAATCAACTAATCAGGGAGGGTGGAAATATGAATTTTAATCCCTCACATCGCAACCAACCCTCGTCAATTCC